TTTTTTTTTCATATACCTGCTGCCATTTGCATTTCTTTTTTGGAGAAGTGTCTTTTTAGCTCTTCTACCCATTTTTTTTTTTGTATGTGTTGCTTCTTTCTTTTTGTTGGGTTATATAAACCCTTTGTAGATATTTTATATCAGTCACGTGTCAGATTTATGGGGTGAAAATATATTCACCCATTCAGTAAGGTGTTTCTTTATTTTGCTTATGACCTCTTTTGCTGTACAGAGCCTTTTAGCTTTATACAGTCCCAGTTGTTTGTATTCTCCTTTGTTTTTCTTGCATCTGAGATTGAGTCCTCAAAAATGTTTCTGAAGTTTATGACATAGAAGATTTTGTTTATGTATTTTCCTGTCTCGCATCCAACTCATCCATTTAGGTAGACTATTGCTTAAGGTATGAAATAATAACTTAGTTTCTCTTGCTGACATGTGGCAAACCTGTTTTTCCAGCACCATTTATTGAAAAGAATTTCCTTGTTTCAATTATTGTCTTTGCTCCTTTCTCAAGGTTAGATGACTGTGTATGGGTGGTGGTTTTATTTCTGGACTTTTAATATGATTTCATCTGTCTTTATGTCTGTTTTTATTCCAAGATTATTGGAATAAAATTTTTTGTTTAAGTTTTCTAAAAATTATATGGCTTTGTAGTTTATTTTAAAGTCTGGAAGTGTAATACCTGCATTCTTCTACTTTTTAATCAGGAGAACTTTGGCTACTCAGGTGTTTTTGTGATTCCATGTGAATTTCAGCAATATTTTTTCCATTTATTTGAAATATGCCATTGTGAATTTTTAAAAAAATATATTTATTTATTTACACATACCAGAGCTGAGGTGTAGACCATAGGTTTTGGGTGGAGGCTTGGTAGTGAGAGGATTTCCAGAGGTAGAAAAGAAAGACTGTCTGAAATACATTGCTGAGGGGAGCAATGAGCAAGACAAGAGAGGTCTGCTCTATCATGTGGGTCAGCTCCATGGCTAGAGATCAAAATGTTGCTGCAGTGGCTGTGGATAGCTTCATAGTGCTTGCCACACTTTAACCCCTTGCACTCCCATTGAGATTTTTATTGGAATTTCATTTCTCTGTAAATTGCTTTTGAAGGGATGGCTATTTTGATAATATTAATTCTTCTGACCCATGGGCAGCAAATGTCTTTCCATTTATTTGTGTCTTCTTCTATTTCTTTTAAAAGTTGAACCTTCTGCCATTTTACTTGTATGGAACTTTTATCTCCTGTATTAGGTTTAACCCAGACATTTAATTTTGTGGGTACAATTGTAAATGTGATGGTTTCCTTAATTTCTTCCTCTTCAGAATAATTCTTTGAATATAAGAAGACCAGAGATTTTGTTTGTTGATTTTATAACCTGCTGCTTTTCTAAACTGGTTTATTGTTTTAATTATTTTTTATGGATTTTTAGTGTTCTCTCTACATATTACCATAAAATCTACAAATAATAATAGTCTTATTTCTTCTATCAACATTTTTTCAGTTCATCTCTTAAGTTCAGCTAGAAATCACTAGTGAAACCATCTGACCCATGACTTTTTTTTTCAGGAGACTTTTGATCAGTGTTTCAATTTCCTGGTGTTTTATTTCTTCTCTACTCTGTTTTGGATGATTGCATATTTCTAAGAAAGCTTTGATCTCTTCTTTGTTATTCAACTTACTATCACACAAATGTTAATAGTAATCTCTTTTATGATCTTCTGAATTTCTAAGATGTCTGCTATAATTTTTCTTTCATTCCCTATTCTATTTATTTTTGTTTCCTTCTTATATTTCTTTGTGAGCCTAGATGATGTCTTTATATTTTGTTTATTCTTCAAAGAACCAGCTTTTAGTTTCATTCATTTTTTAGACTGTTTTTTTTTTTAATTTCTATTCCATTTATTATTCTAATTTCCTTCTTGGCTTTTGCTTCATTTGCTCATCTTTTCCTAGTTCTTTAAGGAACTTAGTTTCCTTACTCTGATATATTTTTTAAATATTTTATTTATTTATGTATACAGAAATTGGGTACAGGTCAGAGATTCAGGGGGTGGTGAGATGATTCACCAGAAACAAAATGAGGAGTGGAATAGGCAGATTGACAAAGTACACTACTGAGGGGAGCACCGGGTGGGTCAGGAGAGGTCTGCTGCACCATGTGGGTGAGCTCCGTGGATGGACATAGATGGTACTTGCGCAGAAGAGGCCACAACTTAGCCTACCTTCTCAGTGCAGCCTTCCAGCATGCTGAGCCACCAGGGAGGACCCTACCTTTCATTTCATTTCATTTCATTTTTATTTTATAATAAAACAGTTCATTTTTACATCATTTTGTACATTTTTTTAAAAATCTCAATTGTAATCCCCATGGGTTTCCCATCACGAGTCACCCATGTGTCATCACCATAATCCCGTGCACTTCCCTCTCCACCCCCACCCCCCCCCGTTTTTGATCCCATTCCCCACTCCACCCTAACAAAATGTCTCTGGTATATGGCTATTCATTATTCTTGTTATTTTCTTGCCTGGCCCATTATACTCCTGCTATGAGTGAAACCATCCGGTATTTTTCTTTCTCTTTCTGGCTTATCTCACTAAGCATGATCTTTTCCAGCTCCATCCAAGTTGCTGCAAAAGACATGTGTTTCTTTTTTTTTGGTTGCTGAGTAATATTCCATTGTATATATGTACCACATCTTTTTAATCCAGTCATCTACTTTTGGGCATTTGGGCTGCCTATCTTTAATTTTAGAGGAAGTTTAAGGAAAAGAGAAATTAATTATATCTAGGATAAAGACAGACTCACAAAAGGGAGAGGCATATTTTATACTATATACGTTGATATATATGGTTTTCTCTCTCTTTTTTGGATTAGAAAGGAATGGAAGTTAACATATTAGTTTTGACTTCAAATGGATTTGAGTTTGAATCCTAGGTCAGGCTCCTACCTTTATTTTGAGCTGGGGAATCATTACCTCAAACGCTTACTTGTAAGTTTGTGACTAATAATGCTAACTTCCCAGGATTTTTGTGAAGATTAAAAGCTATAATCTATACTTATGCTTAATGCTTAGCAAATGAAAGTGCTACTTCACACACCTGGCTATTCATAGCTCCAGTAATTGTGAGTAATTATACATGATTAGGAATTCACTGTAGATTACCTTTATTAGATGGTTTAATGGCTCCTATTGGTGCAGGTTTCATTGGAGTACAGATTAAGCAAGACTGTTACTTAAATGACTTTGTGGTGATAGACATTATTAGAAGTTGTAGCAAGACTAGCAGTATTTTATTATCCTAAAATCTTTGGATTATTATACTAAAAATAGCCAATTTATAGTTAGTCAAGGATATTTAAACTGCACATTTTAGAAGTGTATGTTCCATTCAGTTTAAAAAGATGGTGATTTAATGAAAATAGAAAAAATAAAACCTAAAATTTTCAAAATCATCATGTTGCATATTATCTTTCTTAGCAAGAAGTTAAATGGAAATTGAAATCGATTGGCATAAAAGAAGCTACTTTCATTATCAATATACTTTAATATGTTTGTGGTACCCATTCCCAGATAACCAGGATTCTGAATGAGTTACTATCTTTCAAAAGTATGTATTCTACCAAGGAATAGTTTAGGCCCAATAAATTTCTGCCAGAATATGCTTATTGTTTTGAAGAATCATGGCCTAAGTGTCTTCCGATTTAGCAACAAAACAATGACCTATTAATCATGATTTTTCCAAGCTAATGCTTAACCCCAGATGTTGATTGATCTACCTGTTATCTAAGTAAGGATCTTGTGAATATAGATAACCATGTCTGTATTGGAACCTGAGAGCACAGGAACAAGCACCCATTAGTACACAGATAGTGCTTCTTGGGCAGGAGTCATCTGGGAATTTCCTTGATGTAAATAAGCATTGTTCTCAGTTTGATGACTTTACATTTCTTGTCTTTTGTTTTGTTTTGTTTTTAATATAGACACTTTCTTATATGGTCTTAAAGTGTAAGCTGATGAAATCATCAAGAACTAGTTAGTGAAATCATTAAGAACTAGCTTTTTACTATTTACATAAAAAATGAGACTCAACAATTGTTGGAATTATAAAAGATCAGCGCCTAAGACAATTTTTAAAGAACATTTTGTATTTGTTTATTCAGTTTTCTTTCTTTTTATTGCAGTTAACATTGGTTTACAACATTGTCCATAATTCAGAGGTATAGGATCTCTCTATTCAGGTGTTGTTTCCATATCACACTTTTTTAAGATTGTAAGATTGCTTCAAGTTGGTAAAATTGAATTCTGGAAACTTGAGTCAAATCTGGAGTTCTAACCCATGGCCCTGAACGAAGAGTCAGGGTACCTGTCTTGATTCCTTTTCTTATAGTTTCAAAATTTTATTTCACTTAAAAGATATTTTGTTTCAGTCTTTTATCTCCTTTACAGGGCTTACTGAGAAAATACTAAATGTGTCTATAAACTTAAGCAAACCATTTAACTGTGACAAAAGATGGGAAGGTTTAATAGGTTATCAATGCCTCTCTGTACCTCAGTAACCAACAATCTTCTCCAAAGACCATTGGCTTCTGTCCCCTGTTATAACTTATTGACCATTTGCCGGGAACCATCAGTGATGGTGTGAAAAATACCCAGTTTATGTGATAGGTTGGAGGGAATGTTTAAATCTCCAAGGATGGAGCCAAGCAATTGAAAACGGAAGCATCATCCTGATTTGCTTGGTTATTGTTGCTTCAATATATATATATATATCCTCTTCCTTTCTTTACCAACCATTTATTTGTCTTTAAAAGCAATTTATTAGCAGCCAAGAACTACTCAGTGGAGCTGGAGTTAAAAAAAAATGTGAAATGTGAGACAAAGTAAATAAGATATGAAAGCAGAATTTGGACATTATAATCTCTTAAGTATTCCATTTTATTTAAAAAAATTGCTACAATGTATAATGTTTCAATACTTTTCTTTTTTATCTTTTTAAACAGATTTAAAGTAGAACAAAAATTAGACTTCAAAGAAGTTTTGTATTCTTTGAATATAACTGAAATATTCAGTGGTGGATGTGATCTTTCTGGAATAACAGGTAGTGTGATTGACTAATTCTTATATTATGATTTTATTACATTTTTGTAATAACTGCATTTTTTAACTGACTGATCTTAAAAAGAAAGAGAATTTGACCCCAGAAAATACATACAAAATGAATAAATGGCATAGTCATGATGATCTGTCTGTAAACTAGCACTCTATTTTGCACTTAAACAGATCAGCTTAATAAATGTTAAAAGCATTTTAGAAAGATAGATAAGCCTTCTAACCATGTTTGTAATGGAACTGTGTAGGTAAAGCATTATGCAAGCTTTTATTTCAGCCCTCTTTGGATTTCCTTTCCTGTATAATGAGAATTACAACTTTAGAGCCTCTCATCTAAGCAGAGCTAATAAAACTCTTATAAGCCAATTTGCAAATGTTAATTTGGTAATATCAGAGACCATGAAATAGGTATCTACAAGCTGCTGGATGATGAATACCATCTAGAAGTTGTAATATTATGGTTTATAGACTTAGCTTGGAATTCAAACGAATCTTGGAAGATGAAGCTGTTATGCTAACTTGCACCTGGGAAATTGTGCACTGTGAAGAGACTCACTAGCACAACAAACTCCAAAAGAGCCTTTTAATTTTTCTTCTCCGGTTCTCTACTAGTTCAAAAATAACAAACTAAAGAGAAAATAAATGGATGAAGAGGAACAATTTGCCTGAAGTTACATAACCTCTTTTAAATTTAGTATTTTGTTTTTATAAAAAGGGGCCTAATGATAAAAGCTTGTCTATTTGATGGGGTTTTGAATCATAATGTTAGGCTATTGTATATCCCTGTATAAATCGCTAGGCTTTAGAGAAGTATTCATTAATTTATTCACTCTGCGGCTATGTGAGTAAATGAATGGAATAGATGAGTTTTCCTGTGGAGGAGGTGGGTGGGTTACACAGATGACATTGATGTTCATTATCACTTTCATGCATGATTTAGCTACTTGTTCTTACTCTGCCAGATAGATCTGCCTTCTTTGACATTTTCATCAGATCAGTCAACATTAAATACTTCAAGCGGATGCTATCTAAATGTTCCCTGGAATACAGCCACCTTGCCAAAGTGAATCAAACCAGTTTTTCAAGAGCCTCTTCTCTTAAATTTCTTTCTAACCAATATTTCTGATATTTCAAACAACCACTCACTCTGCAGATTCCCAGCAATTTGTGATTTCTACAAAATCTGCCTTTATAGGCAAATTCATCAAGAAAATACCTCCAAAATGCTTCATAAAAGAATTTAGGCAAGAGAATAACCCCGAGCAGAGAATGAATGCCCTACATTTATTCTTTCTTTCCTGTGCTACCTATTTGAGGTGATTTAACTACATTCATCTGTCTTACTGCCTGAAAAAGAAGAACCACAGTCAACATTGATAGCACCTTTGGTCATTAGGCAATAGTGTGTTCTTTGCTGTCCCTACTTTTCATTTATGTAATAAATATTTACCAAAGTTCCTTTGAACCTGTCCAACACTAAGACTATAAGTTATTTTCGCAAAAGATACACTACCTTATACTCATATATTTCACAGGTTTTGGAATTTTTTTTTCCAGAAAATTGTTTTGGGAAACTTTGAGATATGTATTTGGCTTATCACTGTTAACAATTCTTCTAAAAATGTTAGTAAGATATTTACACTCTGAATCTCAATTTTCTGATCTTTTAAGTGAAATAATACATGCTAGTGACAGAAATATATATCTATAAATCACCTCATTCAACATCTAACACCTAGGAGATGCTCAGTAAAAATAAATAAAAACAAAAAAAGAGGGGGTGATGGCAAAATAATATTTATTTGCACATCTTCTAGAAGAAGATATAGAAGTCTTTGTTCCTTTAATTAGACCAAGAAATAATTGTTATAAAGTTATAGAAACCAGTGGGCTTTATAGCCTGGATTCCTTGTCCTTGTCTCTAAGACCTTGTTATTTTCCCAAGGCTCGGATCAATCTGGTAAGATAAAATACAAAGAACAGGGCTCTCCCTAGTGTAGCAACGGGTTAAAGCACCACATTACGAAGCTCTCTATAGCCACTGCAGCACAGTTCCATCCACCGCCAGGGATCTGATCCACATGGCGCGGCAGACCTCTCCTGACCCTCCCGCTGCTCCCCTCAGCAGTGTACTTTGTCAATCTGCCTGTTCTGCTTCACACTCTGTCTCTGGTGAATCTTCTCACCAACCACACCTCTGGCCTATACCCCAGTTCTGTAAGCATAAATAAATATATCTTTAAAAAACAAAAACAAAAACAAAAAACAACAAAGAACAAGTTTACTAGCCAAGGAGGCACTTCTTCCGATGCCATTTCTAACTCATGAGAGATTCTCCACTGCTCTCAGACCTGCATTTTGGGTTTCATTCATGCTATGGGCTCCTGGGATATTTTTTCTTGCTCTCTATACAAGACAATTATTTGCCTGACCTTACATGGCCATTCCCCAAAATTTCACTTATTTTACACTTCAATCCACTTTACATATTTTTACCACTAAACATGCATATTCATTGATTGTTCTCTTTAACAGACATTTAACATAAACTAATTGTGTGCTTCATTTTTCTAAGGTTGAATAAAATGGACAAAGCCCCTTTTATAGTGTTTATAGTTATCTTAGAAGGTGAATGATTTACCAGTAAATAATTCATTAAGTGGCAAGGACAGATGCTGTGAGTTAACTAAAATAGAGTCCTAAGATGCCTAGGTCAGATAAGAGAAGAAGTCGAGAGTAGTAGAGTAGGATTGAGAGAAATCTGCTACTAGGTTATGCTGAGACTTAACTGTTTGTATGCCACCAAGGGAAACATCAGGACCCCCAAACTTGTATACTCTAAGGAAGTCCAGCTACCCATGCACACAAAGACAAAACAGATGCTTACTGTGAAAGAACTTTAAAAGAATTAATGTATATATAGAGAGAAGAGAATAAAAGATTGCAGTTTTCCCATAAAATAGCAAGGTTACCTACCTTATTAAAGAGAGTATAGGAAATGAGGATAAACATAGTCAGGGCCCCCATAAAATCATCACAAGCAATTTGGAGTCAATTTTAGAGGGGTGGGAAGCCATTTCTATGCAAATATTCTTTTGTAGACTTCTGTCTCTCTTGCCTGAGGTCATTTACTTTTCTGAAAGTGATTAGAAAAAATAAGGTGCCTACTTCTTAAATTGTTGGGTTTGGTGGGGATCGGCCTACAAACCAACTTTCTCTCTTAAGGAAGACAGAGCTCCTTAGTCTCCTTTCTCTTCAGGTTTCAAGGCCTATCTTTCTTTCCTACATCCCTCTTGCCACCACTTTCTGTGAAGTGTTGTCAGGTATATCTGATCTTGGCACAAAAGGAATGGGTGCTGGTTTCTAAACTTAGGGTTTCATTTTTGTTTGGCAAGGATATTATCCTGGAGGGTCACTGCATCAGAAACATTTCATACATACATCAGTTCCACCAAGGGGAGAAGAGGGCCATTTTCTTTCAGTTTGCATCCACACCAGAACAAAACTTTGTAAGGTATCTTACGCTGAGTAATCTGACAGATTTTAAGCACAGCTCTGAAGTGAGTCTATGACAGATGACATATAAGTTCTTCAGACTTTCATAGTTTCAGCAGTCACAAAGGAAAACAGACTTTGTTTTAAATTCAGATCAAAACTTAATGCAGAATTTAAAAGACAAGTTGGCTTTGAGGCTGAATGCACACGGTACAATTAATTCAACCCTGTAAAACCTCTTTCATCTTGTCTGTAGACATTGGCTGAGGCAGGCAAAACCCTCTGTCTGTTCAAATATGTCTCTTAGTAGGATACTGACTGAGGCTTACCTCTTTTTTCCTTGCCTTTTATATTCTTACTAAACTTGTCTTTCTATATCTGTCTCTGTATCATTCCTACAGGAGCTAAAACCAAACCACCTTTATCCCTAGCAAATTAACTAACTTCAAAGAGCTTTTTTTTTTTTCCTTTACTTTGTTCATTGGAAATTGTAATTAATCTGAGAGCTAATAGGTGAGAGCTATTGATTTTAACCCCTAAATACACTTTCATATTTTCCACCAGATTCATCTGAGGTATATATTTCCAAAGTCATGCAAAAAGTTTTCTTGGAGATAAATGAAGATGGCAGTGAAGCTGCAGCATCAACTGGTAGGACAAATGACTTCACAATAAGTTAGGAGGAAACACTAGAGGAATGTATGTTATGGTAATGATGTTTTTGCAGTACTGTGATCTTTTCATTTTCTGCTGTCCAGTTTACTAAAGGAAGAAAAAGCAATTGATTGTATAAGTTGTTCATGCATCTCTGCAGCCACAGCATAAGGTAGATGCAAAGGGAAAACTTAATTAGGAATTGGGGCCCATCTACTGATACTTGCTTGATTTTAAATTAAACTACTTGGCAGAAGACAATGCCCATGTGGAACACTTTAGGTTCACACATGAAATTATTGCATTTAGGAATGCTTCATCTTCAGCAATTGTATTATTTTCCCTTTCTTACTATATCCAGTTAGTCCAATGATTAGAATTTATTGTCATACTTACTTCGTCACTGCCTGTTAAGCCACATAGCTAAGTGTAAAAGCTGTAAAGATTTTGAAATTCCTCTGGCCAGTACACAACCTAAGATAATTCAATAATCATTAAATTTGAAGATGGTATTGAAACTCTAACATTTTCTTAAATTTCTCTAAGTGATTCCTGTGTGCAGGCAAGTTTGAAAACCAGTGCTCCACAGTGGGTTTCAACCTGTTCTTCCTATTACAATATCAGCATTGTTTGGGAATATGTTGAAAATGTAACTTAGGCCCAACTCCCAGACCTCATGAATTAAAATCTGCATTTGCAACACCTCTAGGGGATTTGTATACATGGTGAACTTCCTATATGGTATGTATAGTTTCTCAAACAATTGGCATTTTGAAGTGTCTATTATGTGTATATGTATACTTAGAAATAATTGGAGAAAAGACTTACATTTAGTTAGAACTGGAAAAAAGAACTTTAATGAACACATGGTAATTCTATTTGAATTTTTCTAGTTATTTGGGTTTTCATCATTATGTAAAATGTATGTGTCCTTTAAACTGTTTTGAAAATATTTATAAATTTATAAATATATAAATATTAATTCTTGACTAATTTGTAATTGTCAATGGATTTTGATATTTGATCAGGACATTCCGGCTTTTGCCCTCCACTGAAAGACTTTATTTATTAGTTCAAGGAACTTAAATTCCAGGGGATAGCTGTTTCTGTCTCTGGGAGAAATTTAAAGGTTGCTCTTGCATGGGATAGCTGGTCCATGTAGACAAATTTTTCAGCTGTCTTTACATAAAACTGAAGCATCCTTATACATCATTGGGTCATCTGTTCATTATATTGGTAAAGAAAGAGACCCAGAAATGTGAAGTGACTTGTTTGTGGTCAGACTATTAATTGATGGCATTTTTAACAGAAATCAGTTTCCTAAAATCAAGTTTACAGTTATTTCTGTTGTTACCTACTGCCTTTCATATTAAATCTAGAGTTCTCTAAAAGTAGGAACAAGATTAGGGAAGGTAGGCTGAATCATCATTGGTCCTAATGTATTATACCTCAGCGCAGTCAGCATAAGTGTTTTGACCTATAAGCAAAACACTGAAGTAACTTGTAGTTACTTAAGAATGAAAAAAAAGCTAAAGTATTGGCCCAAATGAGAATAGGAGTGATAGTGACTCTGTTTTTCTGATTTGCCTCATTAACTGAGATATGAGTCTGTATCTATTGGTAACTAGGGCAGCGTAGTCCTGGTACTCCAGATAAGCAAATATTCCATATTTTATGTTACTAAGGTTATGTTTGAAGGGGAATCAGTACATGCCCTCCCCAAATTCCATTTTGGCAGATGGGTTATTTTAAGCTTAGGCAATTTAGAAATAGCAGGTACAAAAAGAACACTCTACCCTCCCACTATATGACTAAAATAGGACCAGAATATCTTTTCTAAAGCTGTCTCTCTTCCCCAATCCCAAACCAGGAGGAGGAGAACAGCTTTTGTCATAGGAGATGCAGGTGGACACTGAGATGAGCCTGCATAATAGATTTTAGAGTAACTCTCATCTACCATTAGTTTCCTCCATTGATTTACCATCTGACCATATACCAGCTAAAACTCACACACTTTTTGTTAAATTCTATATAAAGTCTCAGCCCAACCACTTAATTGTATATTCACTTTTTTTTTTTCCTGTGAATCCTACCAAATAGATATCATTTTCAACTCATTTATCTTTGGTCAGATTATTTTTCAGACTGCAGTTACAGAACATAAAACAATAGAATATATGTTTTCTTTCCCCACTTGTTTTTCAATTCTATTCACCCATGTTGTATTTATTAAATTATTATTCATGGATATGTTAGAATTCATAAAATCATTGAATTACTGTTAATGAAAATGTGTGAACTGAGTGAAGTTATTTAGTCTAGAAAGAAGAAATCCAGCCATTTAAATTTACCTACACTAAATATTGAAAGGTTTCACAATGGAGCAACATGGTACAAATGAACATAGGAGATAGTTTCTAACACAACAAATCTAGGCTTCTAATCTTGTAATAAAAACCATACTCTCATTGCTTCCCGACCTTTTGGCTAAGATCAAGCGCTGTATAAGTTCTTATCAGTTTAAAAACCACAGGCCAAATCCTTAAATGTTCTGAGATTTAAAAAATGAAAGGGGGCCCTCCCTGGTGGTGCAACAGGTTGGAGCACTGCACTGTGAAGCTAAGCCAAGACAATGGCCACTTCAATGCTAGTTGGATCCCAGCCCTAGCCAGAGGTGATCCACATGGCATGGCAGAACTCTCCTATCTCACTCACTGCTCCCCTCAGCAGTGTACTTCAAAGATCTGTTTTTGTTTCTGGTGAATTTTCTTCCCCCACCCCTGCACCTCTGGCCTGTACTCCATTTCTGTATGAATAAATAAATAATTTTTTAAAAAAGATTTATTTATTTATGCATACAGAACTTGGGTACAGGCCAGAGGTGCAGGGGCGGTGAGAGGAGAGCAGAGGCAGAGTGGGGAGCAGAACAGGCCGACTGACGAAGTACACTGCTGAGGGGAGCAGCGGGCGTCAGGAGAGGTCTGCCACACCCTGTGGTCACCCCGGGGCAAGCGGGGATAGAACTCATGCGGAAGTGGCTTTAGCTTCTTAGTGCTGTGTCTTAACCCGCTGCACCACCAGGTAGGGCCTAAATAAAAATCTTAAAATATCAAAGTGAAATGGAGATGTGATTACCACAAGTTTGAAAAGTAGAAATAAAATGCAAACAATTCTGAATAGGATTAAGAGTTAAAGCCTTATAATAATCTATCATATATTGTAAATTAAAATGAGCAGAAAATTACTGTTTAAAAATATGAAATTGTTCAGTTGTTTCCGCTTCTGCTAAGTTGTATATAGTTTCTGGCTCTCCTCATTTTTTAAAAAGCTTTATTTATTTATATGTACAAGAACTAGGGTACAGGCCAGAGGTGGGGTGGTGGTGATAGGATTCACTACAGGCAGAACAGGGAGCAGAATAGGCAGATGTAATGAAATACACTGCTGAGGGGAGCAGAGGGCAAGACAGGAGTCCTCTGCTGTGCCACGTGAGTCACCTCCCTGGCTGGGGATCAAACTCTTGGTGCAGTGACTGCAGAGAACTTCATAGTGCTGCACTTTACTCGTTTTGCCGCCAGGGAGGGCCCTTGCTTTCCTCCTCATGGAGCTTAAATGTGAAATTGGAATTATGGCATAATGGTCCAATATTTATTCTGCTTTTTGTTTTTTAAATTTATTGCATATTTCTCTGTATTTAGAAATGGGTTACTTCCACATATTAGCTCTTTAAAAATGACCTTTCCAAACTGTAAAATGTATTACAAATATATATCTTTTGATGTAAACACCCAAATAACTGTTTTCTCTATTTCCTAGGTATGAACATCCCTGCAATCATGAGTTTGCCTCGAAACCAGTTTATAGCAAATCATCCATTTTTGTTTATTATAAAGAATAAATCAACAGGTACTTTTTTTTTTAAATTTGGGTGAATTTCTTAAGAAGTTGCAAATAACTGTTACTTGCTATTATTTATCTGCAGCCATTTTTCTTTCAGTGGATGTATGTTCCTATATAATATATATATATTATATATATTATATTTTGCTTAACTATTTTATGTGTTTATCTCTAAAGCTGATGAGATTCTAATAGGCTGGATATTTATTTAGTAAATACATAGAAATCCAGAGAGAGGTTATGTAATTTGCCTTAAGTCATGTATGACTTTAATCATATTGGACAGTTTTCAAGAATAATTGGAAAGTTTCAGAATGGAAGCAGGCACTGTTTGTGAAATCTACTCTTTATGGTGCAACACCAGGAATGGCTAATAGCAATTATAGCCCTGTGAAAGGTTTCAGATATAAGTTGCAAAAGAATAAGGACTAAAGATGATGGGGTCTGTGAGTGGGGTCCTTGGTCCCTCTAAGAAAGAATTCAGCAAATTTTCTTAGTCAGCAGCATACAAAAACTTTGTTAAAATATGTCAACAACCAAAAAAGAAGCAAAGTGGGGGAAATACAAAAGTAGGTGTAAAAATGATGTTTAAGTGAAAACCAGTTCACATCTAGTGATGAATTCTTCTTGGTATAAATCTTATGAGATCCAGAAAAAAAAAATGCATTTGCATAGAAACAAAGAAATACTTCTTCAAGTGCAAGAAATATATTTTTAAAAGGGAAGATTTATTAGGAAAAAGACAGGGAAAATATATCTGCATAGACAAAATGAGCAAAAGGTGCGTTTTGCCAGAATCAGGTTCTCCTTGTCTGGCGGGATCCATTCCTTTATGGGATTTTATTTTTTGTGGCGTTTATTGCCTTGGGATCTGTTAAAATTGTTAGTTGGGGCCTTCCTGGTGGCACAGATGTTAACGTCTCAACACTATCAAGCGATCTCCAGCTCCTGAGGCATGAGTTTGATTCCAGGGCAGGAACTAACCCAAATGGCACAACAGACTTCTCATTGTTCGCCCACGCTTCCCTCAGTAGTGTATTTGAGTAAATCTGCCAGTTCTGCTCCCTACTGTCTCTGTTGAATTTTCACATAACACTCCCCACCCCTGCACTGCTGGCCAACACTCCAGTTCTTCTATGCATAAATAAATGAAAATATATCTTGGAAAAGATGATAATCGTCTCTGTCCCACACCCAGTCCCTGCAAAACTCCATATTCAGCTTAACAAATCATTTCTTCCACCACCTCAGGTTAACATCTACTTCTTTTTCCATCACACTCCTCTTGATCACATCTAGCCCCAAATATTTTGGGGGCTCTCGGGTGAGACCATCTTCTATAATACTTTAGGCAGGAAATGAGTAAAGCTGTCTCTATCTAGAGCATGGAATATGGTCTTTCTAATTCTAGCCTGAGATGGCTACTTCTGGAAGGAGGTATAGAAAGGATCCATTGGGTGGCATGTTTGGGCTAGCTTATGTTTAACAGCCTCTAAACAATAAGAGATACCTTTAAGAATGAAGTCGAATATGTTAAGCCCAAAGTGAGAAATAGGGTCTCAGCTAAGGGTCTAAGGAAAAAGATAGTATTCATGGGAGGGCCACATTTTAGATCCCCTAAACCCCGGAGAGTGACATTCTATGCTCCCCTTGTGTGGTAGTAAGGTTAGCTATTATGTTTAAACTCATGGTAGAATTTTTAAAATTTGTTGGCAGGGAAGGGGGAAAAGGGTAAGCAGAAATTAAAGGAAGATAAAATTGTTGTGACAGTGTTTAATGTCAGGGTTGCCCCTCACTTATTTTCTGGGTGTCCATTCTGACTATGGTCAGAAGTCTTATGTTACCTTTTGAAGGGGTATCTTAGGTAGCAAGACCACTGGACTACAACATTCCTGCTGAGTAAGTAGGGGAGCAGATTATTATTATTATTTTCATTGCAAAAGGAAAGGGATTGTACTACAATTATAGCTTCTGAGTAGGAAAGAGGGATGAAACACAATTTCAAAAATGAACAATTTGTGAAAGATAAAGAAAGAGGATAAATAGCAAATACAGAAGTGGTAGTGAATTGAGTTGACTTTTGATAATGTCAACAAGTGGGAATGCAGATTGTCTGCGTAGATGTCTTTTTTCCCATAAGGCATCCATCACTTTCAAACAGGTGTGGCAGAGCTGCTGAGTGGCAGATCATTCTTTGTGATTGGTCAAACCCAGAGTTCAGGGTTACGTCAAAGCAAATTGCTTATAGCCAGTCAGCACTGTGGGTCACAGCCCTGTTAACTTGCTTGTCTACTGTTATTTCACCTCTTCTGAACCATTTTCACCTCCCTGCCCCGCCACTCATCAAGGAGGCCTCTCAGCATGACACACTCTATTTCAATGTATTTATTTCTGATTTTCAAGTCGTCTCCCCCATTTCCCCCACCATCCCAGTAATACTTTTTCTCTGAGTAGATCTTTCTGTGCCTATCAAAAAGTGAAACCAGGAATGTGGAGAGTGGGGAATATTTCCGTAAGGTTATATTTAGGATTCTGCAGGAGTCATGATGCCTGTGTCAGGATTGTAAAACTCTGGAGGATGGAAATAATATCTCATTCATCTCATTGTTGAGCCCAGTATTTGGCAGAGTGCTATACAGATAATATCATTATTCCTAGAGCTGTACCACCACAGTTCACTGTGTTCTCCTCTGTTTTCGCCTCTCCCTTTCTCCCTCCTCTCCTGGATGCCTCATATCTACAGTCAGCTTTCAAGAACTGGCTTTAAAGTGTGTCTTATTCTGGCCTCAGCAATAAAAAGAGATACTCTCATGCCATTTGCCATAACACGGATGGAGTTCGAAGGGATTATGCTAAATGAGATAAGCTAAAAATAAAAACTAGATGATTTCACTTATATACAGGGTTTCAAGATATCAAACAATCCAGGATATAATCTCTTCTTTTCTAAAGAAAATATTGAAGAGATGCCAAGGCTGAACACCCACTGTTCATGTTTTTATTTGGCTCTTTGGACATCAGTTGAGAGTGAAATGTTGGTTTACCTGCATGCATTCAAGCTTACATAGCTGCTAAAATTCGCAGATAGCTTGTTCTCTCTCTCCTGCTTGACAGGAGGCCCCCAATATTGGGATATATCTGAGTTTTTTTTTTATTAAGCCTTCTTTAACTAATTATACTTTTAAAATGATGTATTTATTCATATATATTTTACATCTTTTTTTTTTTTTACATTGGTTGCTTTCTTTTCTCAGGTGTTGTGTCTTTTTTTTTTGGACTCAATAAAACTAATGTTGAATGACCTTTTTGAAAGTTTTATCATATAAACAATTCAACACCTTTAAATTTGTTGAGATTGCTCTAACAGAACTTCATTTTCAGCAGTGGATAAAATGTTAAAAGATATTCTGAGCATGTTATTTGATCTATATTTCTTTAACCTTTGGATAACTCTAATTTCTCACAATTAACATGTAATTATTAAGTATAAAGAATAGAAATAAAGTTACAGTGGGTTTCAATGCACAAAGAAATAATAGCATTTAGAATAATGATGTTTGGCACTGTTTTCCAAGTTGATGGCCAAGGGCATGCAATATATCTCTGTTAGACAGCAGTGAAAATTTGAAACCCAAAATAATCTACTTATTTATTTAGTTGTTATTATGCTTAAGTATCAAAACATTATGGAAATTGCCACTATTTTATGATCTTTATTCTAATAAGACTTTCTCAACTATGCCTAATCACCTAAAGTACTATTTAAAATGAATGATCACTTATTTATTGGAAATAAATTATTGCCATATAAACTGTGGAATTGGCTATTAGGACAAAACACATTCAGTGGTTTACTTTTTATCTCAAATGAACTAAAAAAATCATTGAGTTCAAAAAAGATGGTGATTTAGTATAGTCAAAATGGATTTGCTTCTTTATTATTGTTTTTTAAATTTTCATTTATTTTTTTTGTGTAGGAGAACTTGGGAATAGGCCAAAGATGCAGGGGTAGGGGCCAGAGGATTCACCAGAGACAGAGTGGGGAGCAGAACGTGTGGGTTGACGGAAATACACTGCTAATGGGAGAAGTAGGTGAGGTCTGCTGTGTCATATATGGGTCAGTTCCTTGGTTGGTGATCAAACTCATGCTGTAGTGGTGATAGACTTAATACCTGGATTACTAGGAAATTTCAGAATTTACATAAAATATAAAACATTCTTTTGACAATTTCTGAAGTATGAGATGAATGATTTTAGATCCAACACAACCAATTTCATTTTAGATTTATAATTTGTATTTTGTGCAAAATGTATGTATTATTCCTATTTTCCTATCAGTTTAATCTGATACTATATTCATTCAAAGATCTTAGTAAGCCAAGCTTCCAGGGTAATGAAGAACATTTTCTCCTGTTTTAGGTTGAAATTGTTAGCCATATTTAGAGAATTTCAGAAAAATATTGTGAAAAGTATTACATGATATGTGCCATTTCTAAGAAAGCATTGAATCATGATTTTGAAATTGAAAGTATTCTACACAAAATAACAATGTTTTCAATACTTTTGGTTGACAGAATAAGCAGAACACAAGATATTCATTAAATAATTTTTTACTTCTAGGCTATTAGTTTTCACTTTTCTGCTATACTTTAATATTAGAAATTAGAAGTTATCTCCACATAATGCAATAGTAAGTATACTGATCAAAGATGGGAGACATCTCTTTAGGAAGGGGGTATGAAAAGAAAAATGGCAACGATAATTTTTTTTTTTGCGCTAGCTTGCCTCTAAACCCATTGATATTAATAAGGGAAAATTTCATTAATCTGTCCAGCTTTTAGTGAGTAGGTGAGTACAGAAAGACTTACTTCTGTAAGTGCTTCTCCTTTCATATCATATCAATTTGAAAAGATTGGGACAAATGTAATACAATAATTACATTTATGTCTCACAGTTATTAATGTCCTGGATCTCTGAAGGTTTAAAATTTTAAACTTTTCCTTCAATTATGAGTTTCTACAAAAGTTACTTTAGAAATATCCTGCACTAACAATTCTGATAATCGATTTGATGCCATAGAATTATAATAAACAGAAGTCACTGATGATTGCTACTTAGACTAAATGTAATATACATGTGTGAAAATATCAGTGTTTCACCTATGCACCTAAAAAATAGGGCTATTTGTGGAGTAATTTTGTTGTTGGCTTTTTTCAGAATTATTTTAGAGTTTTTAAAATTTTTTTTAAAGATTTTTTCATTTATGCATACAGAACTGGGGTACAGGCCAGAGGTGCAGGGGCAGTGAGAGGATTCACCAGAGACGGGAGCAGAGCAGGCAGATCGAGGAAGTACACTGCTAAGGGGAGCAGTGGGAGGGTCAGGAGAGGTCTGCCACGCCATGTGGTCACCTCCGGGGCAGGCGGGATCGAACTCATGCGGAAGTGGCTTTAGCTTCTTAGTGCTGTGCTTTACCCCGCTGCACTATCAGGGAGGGCCCTATTTTTGAGATTTTTTAAAGCAAGTTATTATTGATTAAAATTACTCTAAAAAAGAAATATGCTGCTAGAAACTATGTCGATTATCATGTTATTGGCTTTCTGAGAGTATATCTGTCTTTGGTTTGGATTAAAAGTGGAGTTAATTGATAGAAGGGCTCTCATGTTGTCATTAAAGAAAACATTTTAATGTAATTTTCATTAGTTTTACAATTATGTAATTTTTGGGTCACTTTTGAAATTAATTTTTATTACATATGATTGAAAGCAACATAAGTTAGGCAACATTTATATGGTACATTCAAGTCTCTCCTTACCCAAATTGGATTTCGACACATCATTTTTTCCTGTTTTGTTCTTTAGCTTAGTTTCTTTTCATTTGCAAATACGGATTGGCTGGAAACAGGTGTTTGCATTTATGCTGTATAACATATCAATTTGGCAAGGAATTGAAAGCATTAGTAATATGGAAATACTGACGCTAGCATTAAGCTTTGATTCAAAACTATCGGAAATCTGAGTCTCCATATTTAGAACATCTGTTTGTCACTTTATTTTTGCTTTCCTATGAGAAGCAGGACTAACGAATTTTCCATGGCAAGCTGTTGTTGGTGTACATTACTTCATAAATTACCAGAAAATGATTAGTAATGATACAAATATGTATATTAGATAAAGAAGGTTGTTTGCTATTAGACATTGCTAATTTTTTTTAAAGATTGATTTATTTATGCATACAGAACTGGGGTACAGGCCAGAGTTGCAGGGGTGGTGAGTGGATTTACCAGAGGCAGAGTGAGGAGCAGAACAGGATGATCTTTGAAATACACTGCTGAAGGAGCAGCGGACGGGTCAAGAGAGGTGTGAGGTGCCATGTGGAACACCTCCGGGACAGGAGATGGAACTCATGCTGAAGTGACTTTAGCCTCTTAGTGCTATGCTTTAACCCAGTGTGCCACCAGGGAGAGCCCACCAATGTTTCTTATAGGAAAAATAAAAGCAAATGTCTCATTTAAATACATTTAAAAATAATTATTGTCTCTTTTTATCCCCAGAAATTCCTAAAGCATTCTTTTCTTTTTTCCCTAGAATCGATTTTGTTTATGGGAAGGGTGACAAATCCTGACACTGAAAAGATGAAGGGAAGAGATTTAGATTCACTGTAATTGAGCATCATAATCTCAAAATAAAAGACTATCCCTAGAAAACAGATTATATCAAAATATCACCATATTGAAAATATTTCTATATATCTAATTTCTGTTGTTAATTGTGCCTATATTAATGTGCATTAATTCATTATGCATGATGAATTGTACCAATGAAATAATAAATAAATGAAATTATTCTTTCTATGTGTCTGTTCTTTCTGTGTATTTTATAAGATTGGTATGAATTAAAGAGGGAGCTTACATAAAATATACAATTAAAAGTGTTAGAATAGCCTACCTAAAATACCTTAAATATTTTAAAGATCAATATCTCTACATTCCTAAAAAACTGTGTTATCTAACTTCCAGTTTAGCATTATTTAGAAGGCGAAATAAAGTCAAAATAATGTCTATGTGTTTGGTGCCTCTCTATTTAAGATATAGAAAAAAGCAAAACTCTTATTCAAAGGAATATGTAAACTCATATTTATTGAGCATTATTTATAATAACTAAATTATGAAAGCAATTTCAGTGCTTAATGACAGATTATGGAAGTGAGATATGTGTATACAAAGGAATATTACTCAGCTATATAAAAGATAAACTCTTTGCCATTTCTGATAACATGGATAGAACCTAAGGGGATTCTGTTTAGTGAAATAAACTGTAAGGATAAAGACAGTATCATTAGGTTTAGTTCATATGTAGACTATTCAGAAACGAAACAAAGAATTAGAGAAAAACTCCATAGTGATAAAAGTCCTAGAAATCTGACTACTTAAGAGAGGCTAACACAGGAAGAGGGAGGGAGCAGAGGAAATTGGGGAGGGATCACAGTGGATTATAATGGAGGGTTATGGGTGCCTGATATGGGCTTGGTGTCAATATCCACTTAAATAAATAGGATCCTATATTTCTAAAGCATATACAATGTTTAAACTGATGTAAGTTAATTAAGAAAACTTAATTAAAAAAAAAAACTCTGAATGTACACAAAAAAAAGAACAAGTAAGTCAGACTCAACAGTTCCAGAAGTCTGTATACCTACATACCAAAGTAGAGGATGTTCAAAACAGCAACTTTTATAATAATCTCAACTGCAAATGCTCAAGTAGACTGAGTACATAAAGTTGTGATATAGTCATAATTTAATAAAAGATCCAGTATTTGACATTAGGTGAGATTTAGTATTCTTTAAATATTAATTTAATATTCCATGTACTCCATTTAATATTTACGTTGTTTCTGTACCTCTTAGGACAGAAATTTTTGTCTTCTGATTGACACTCTAAGTACACATAGAAAGTAGAATTGATGAGAAGTGTTATAAAATTTGCCTATAAATGAAAGTGAAAGCCAGTGTGCATGATTCCAGAGTTTGGTCAGGCTGCCATGATTTTATAACAGAGAACAGAAAGTGTTATAGTCAGGATTATAATCTATATTAAACACAGAACACTTTTTCTGAATTCTGTGAGATGTCATGTGGAAATATTCAAAATATTACATTTCAATAATTTGATGTAACATGTTTGATAGCTTTTCATGTTAATCTTGCAAGTATTTTACTACTACTGTTTTAGCAGTCCTTGGCAAGTAGCTTAATGATAATGGCTACCTATATGCATCAGACTCTAAAGTAAGTACTTTATCTATGTTATGTTAAATATACTGAAAATCCTAGAAGATAATATTGTTCCTCTTCCTGATGTAGAAATCAAAACACAAAAACATTATTTAAATTAGTCAAGGACACACTAATAAATAAATTTTGTGGTCTTTGTAATATTTCAGACTATATTACGATATTCAGATATTTACTCTTATTTCCAAGATTATTTTAGCTAAAATTCTATTGTCAAAATCAGTAAACTATAAAACTTTTTTTCTAAGTCTTGTAAAGTAGTGCAAATGTTCTAAAACATTGCACAATGTGTGCCCCATTATTTACACGTTCACCTACAGCAAGCTTAAAACAGCAATCAAGGCAGTTTTGGAAGTAATGGTGATTACTTAAAAATATAATGTAATGAAAAGTAATATTAATTTTCCCAGATTGTTAACACAAACTTAAACTTGCCTCTTATTAAGCCAGCTCTATATTAAAATCCTGCTTCTTCCAAACCCTGCATGGTATATCTTTTGGCGTATGTGCATACTGGATAGACAATCTTTTTATTTCTTGGGAACAATAATAAAACAGAATGAGAAAATAAGAGGAACTTCATAAAACAAGAGTCACATTAAAGTTACACTCTAAGAACACTTTTTTATGTGTTCCAAATGTACTTGCTTTGCTTAAAGACATGCTAAATTTCTGCCTTAAGTTCCCTAATTTTAAGCCTGACTTTGCATTATAGGAAAGTTTAACTGTTATTCTTTCATTTCATGCTCTATGTTTTGTAGGTGTTAATTGCCTTTAAAAAGGTAGAAAGAAAGAAACTTAAGGAGGTAGATAGTACCAGTGATTTGGTGGAGGTGAAAAAAAGGTGAAAGGGATTTTCTTCTGTATGTTCTAGTTGAAATATCCCTTTATATCATTTCTAGAAATGTTACCAGCTAAACTTCATCATCACTGATTATTAACTAAGTAGCTATATAACTATATAAGTAGTTCCATGTTATAAATATCAGAAGGGTCTAGAATATATTTATAAGTTAACATGCATATCATGAAGTAAAATAAGCATAGTTTTTTGAATGCCTAGCTATGTGAAAATTTAAGGATTCACTGCAGTATAGTGCCCATGTGGGAAAAAAAAATACTATGAAATTAATAATCCTTATAAAATGTAATATGCTGTATATATTTCCTTTTTTGAGACAAAATGTCTATTAAAATAGTAGTATTTTCTTCCTGGAAACTTTGGAATTATTATTGTTATTTTTTAAAGATTTATTTATTTATGCATACAGAACTGGGGTACAAGCCAGAGGTGCAGGGGTGGTGAGAGGCTTCACCAGAGATATAGTGGGGAGCAAAACAGGCAGATCAACAAAGTACACTGCTGAGGGTAGCAGCGGGTGAGTCAGGGAGGTCTGCCACGCCATGTGTTCACCTCCTGGGATGGGGATCGAACTCTTGTTGATGTGGCTTTAGCTTCTTAGTGTGGTGCTTTAACCTGCTGTGCCACCAGGGAGGGCCCTGGAATTATTTTTTATTGACTTTACGTAGCAGTAATTTTAGAGGAATCTGCTAATTCTATATTAGGGTGGTCCCCAGGAAAAGGAAAAGGAAGGTGGAGCTGAGCAGAGAAGAGAACATTCTGGAGAGGAGACTGAAGAGGAAGGATGTAGGATGGAGAGCCAGAAGGTGACCTTAGGGAGCCATATGGAGCAGAGACATGTGAAGAAACTGTGCTTCTTCTTGGTCCTGGACTGGTTGAAACAGATATGGGTGAGAGTCCCATGGGGAGGTTCACTACGGCAGTGTTTATCTTGATTTTGATTTTGCTCTTGCTCTTTTCCTTCCAGACTTGTCTGACCATTTGTGACCCTTTTTTGTGGGTCTCCACCAAAAGTTGCTTTAGACTTGTGGTGGGTTTTCTGGCCTTGCTTTGGGTCAATCTCTTTTGGGTAGACTTTCATTCTTCATCTTTTCTGTATTGTACACTGATTGTATTAAAGTTCCTTTCCATTAAAATCTTATATATCTTGCCTTGATGTGGTGGATGGCAGAACCTATTTAGAGCAGAAGGTTGGGAGGGTTCAGATGTGTCCCTCTCCCTGCCCTGTAACAGTTCTGAAGGGTGAACGTTCAGATACAATTAACAATTTATTTTAGTAGGCAAAGTTTACAGATTTGTATTGAATTATATAGTGAAAGTTTAGATACCTTAAGATACAAAGAAATCTTTAGACTAATTTCATTAGTGTCAAAATTTTGGATCTCTAAAATAAGATATTTTCCATTCCAGCCTCAGACACAGAGACACATGGAAATGTCTTTCAGAGCTGTGACTCCTCAGCCTGATTACATGTAAGGTAAAAAATTGAGTCCACTTTAAATTATTTGCTTGTAAAAGTGCTTTTTTTCTTACTGTCTATTTTTCCCCCCATGGGTGCTTGTGTGATCACCTCTAAGTCCAAAACCTGAAATTCAAAAGGTCAAAACTCTAGATCCTTCTTTTCTGATGCCTCAAGTGACCACCCTAATGGTATAAGATAAAGGAAATAAAAGCTGAGATTTCTTTTCACTGTCGTGCTTTACATTTTTGGCTTGTCAGTTCTCTGGGGTGTCAATGTCTTCACCTCTGCAGGAAAAGGTAAGACAAATCCTACTTAAGGCTTTTGTTCCAAGATCCTATATTTGTTAACCTTGAACTACTTAACAAAGACAATGTAATATCTCTTAAGTCATTATTTTCTATAGCAGTTCTTTTTCCACAAAACAAAAAAGTATTCAGGATGTAAATATGCTAATATCTTAGACTGTTAACATTATACTTAACTACTTATGGATTCTCTTAATAAATTTGAGACAATTAAAATAATACATGAAAAACAATTTTACTTATTGTGAGTCAATTTCTGGCTATGGTTTCCATAATGTAGAGTTGTTGCTTAGGTAGGGTGCCAGCTAATGACTTCATTTCTAAGTGGAATCTTGTAATTTATTCTCATCAATAGAATGTGAATGGACATGAGCACAAATGACCAAGAAACAAATGTCCTTGCCTAACGGAAATGGTGCCAGATAGCATGATAGAGGTCTAAGGGATTGCCGATAATAGAGAGGGCAGTTCAGATGGGTTCTTATCCATGTGCTCATTCAATAAACAACAATGGGCTTATTTAACAGGGAAAACAAAGAGTTTCTAAGGCAGAATCACTAGCTATCTCATCCCAGATAGTGTTTACAGTGTCTAAATGACTGCTTATTGAAGATGTCACTGTCCCATTGATGAGGACCTAGAGCTGCACCACACCAGCAAGCTGTGGGCCAGGATCCAATTTGTGGTGGCAGCTGGAGGAACTCACATGAAATGATACCTCAGCAGTCCACAGCAATAGTTTAAAGGCCAGGATGGACAGCACCAGATGCTGGAACACACAGCAATGGAGGCAGCAACACTGGGAGGTTGTACTGGATGATGAGAAGCTGTGGCTAACTCAGCACGCCATTCACCAACAA